ACATTTAAAATAACCAAAGTTGCCAAAGTGCTGTCCAGGTTAAAATACACATAAAAAGCTAACATAATTTAAATGTTAAAAGCCATGTCAAATAAATGAGTTTTTAAAGAGGACTTAAGCACCTCTATGGTCTGGGCAGATCTTATATTAAAAGGCAGGCTATTCACATAGGACCTGTTTTTGTTTGTGTGGACAGAAGAAACCCAAAATATCATATTTGTAGTTATTATAAAAGAGACAGGTGTAATCTTGCTAAATGTAGATACATATATAGATAGATAGATACTTTATTGATCCCCAAGGGGAAATTCAAGATGTATGCATCAAAACCTGCTGTAACCATTAGGCCACAGCTGCGGCCCGCAGATCTTATATTAAAAGGCAGAAAGCTCTAACGCGCCCCTCCTCCTCAGGTCCTCGTCCCCGCGCTCCCTGAGCCGATCGCCCGGTCGGTCTGCCAGCCGCTCGCCCGGTCGTTCGCCGGCGCGGCGCCTGGAGGAAACCGACGAGGCTCAGCTGGAGAGGCTCTACAAACCCGTGTTCGTCATGAAGCCGTCCTCCTGCAAATGCTCCGAGGGGCAGACGGCCAGATTCGACCTGAAAGTCGTGGGCAGACCCATGCCCGACACCTACTGGTTCCACAACGGTGAGCTCCGCCAAAGGAACTCCTCTCAGAGGGTGTTTAGAACAAAGAACCCCTTTTCTCACTGTCGAAATGTACTCCTCACATACTCAGGACAACAAGCGGTCAGCGACTACACTCACAAGATAGTGGTGAAAGAGGACGGCACCCAGTCCCTGATCATCGTCCCGGCCATGCCTCAGGACTCCGGGGAGTGGACGGTTGTGGCTCAGAACAGGGCCGGACGCACATCGATCTCCGTTACTCTCACCGTAGATGGTAAGATTTCTCTGCCTTTGCGGCGTTCCTCTGACCTGTGCGTAATGTCTACATTTGAGGGTTTCTGTGGACATTTGATGACTTTGTGTGTTGCTTCATTCCTTAGCTAAGGAAACCTTGGTGCGGCCCCAGTTCACTGAGAAGCTGAGGAACATCAGTGTGAAGCAGGGCACGCTGGTGGAGCTGGCGGTGAAGGCCATCGGAAACCCGCTGCCCGACATCGTGTGGCTGAAAAACAGCGACATCATCTCCCCACAGAAGCACCCCAACATCAAGTATGTCATCAACTATTTCTAAAGAAATATCAAGTAACCAAACTTTATTTTGGATACTACAGTTTATTCCTTAATCACATCATTGAACTCACAACTTTCTTCGATCAAAACATGTTGAGATCATCAAATAAATACTCTGCCTGCTTTCAGACAACTGGGAAACACAAAGCTTATTACAGATGAATTCCTTAAGGTGATATAGTCGGAAGACGAACGTTGGTGGTTGTTAAGTTCATCCATATGAACTATCTCTGGTCTGATCAGTGTTGAGCACATCTCCGCTGTGTGAGATTATTGGAGTGTGGGACAGTATAAAGGAGGCGTGGGAATGGGTAGATTAAATGGTCGACGTGAGGCTTTCTGATCTGGATCATCTTATTTAATAGTTCTGCCTTGTATTCAAAGGCTTTAAAAAGTGTCAAACATCCAAATGGCAGCCATCTTTTGTGTCAAAAAGCAAATTCAAAAAGTGAAAATTGCTCCAATGAGAGTATCTCTGTGTTTCAGGATTGAGGGAACCAAAGGAGAAGCCAAGTTTCAGATCCCGTCTGCTACGGGCCCAGACAGCGCCTGGTACACGGCTACCGCCATCAACAAGGC